CGCGGGCCCGAGCCTCCTTCTCCAGGAGCTCCACGCTGCGCTCCACGTCCTGGTTCCTCCTGGTGCTGTCGCTCGTCCGCGCCAGGCCGGTCTGCAGCCTGGAGACCACGAGGGGAGGCCGCCGCCGCCGCCGCCGCCGCCGCCGCCGCCGCCGCCGTCGTCGTCGTCGTCGTCGTCGTCGTCGTCGTCGTCGTCGTCGTCGTCGTCGTCGTCGTCGTCGTCGTCGTCGTCGTCGTCGTCGTCGTCGTCGTCGTCGTCGTCGTCGTCGTCGTCGTCGTCGTCGTCGTCGTCGTCGTCGTCGTCGTCGTCGTCGTCGTCGTCGTCGTCGTCGTCGTCGTCGTCATCGCCTGCCGAGGTCTCGGCCCCTGTCGGTGATGTCGCTCGCTTCGGCTGGGCCAGCCTGCCGCCTGCAACCCGCGAGGGGGGGAGGCTGTTGGCCAGACCTGCGCAACGTCAGTGCTAATTGTTTGCTGGAACCCCTCGGCGTCTGGAGGCCGTTTTCAGGATCGAGGGGGTGCATGTGGCAGTACAGGAACCAGTGTCTCGGCATCTCCATACTCAAACCCCCTCTGGCCTGCGAGCCGCAACCCTAGACCCAGACCGAAGGGGAACGAACAAGAACCTCAGCTTGCCGCGCCTGGCAGCCTTCGCGGGCGGGCGCGTGCAAGGCGAACACGCTGCGCTGCCGAGAGCAAGAGGCGCAGGAGGAGGAGGAGGAGGAGGAGGAGGAGGAGGATCTGTGTCGGTGACTACAACGGATGCGGTTACGCCGGGGTGTGGTTTGCGATCGGCGCCGCTGGGGCTCAGGGAGTCACCGCGTCGGGACGCGGCAGGGATCTCTGTCGAGCTCCTCGCCCGCGCCTCCAGGCGCGGGTTGCAGACCATTCCTTTTGCAAACCGCACCCTTGGGAATCGCCAGCCGGGGCCGCCAAAAAACGGCTTGGGAACAGGTGGGGACTTCCGGGGACCCGTACCTACCTATTGAGCGAGCTCAAGACATCGAATCTCTTGGCACGGAGGTGGAGGAAGAGAATCGAGGCTCGGGAACTGGAGGTTCTCGTCGTCGCGGCGGGGATCCGCCTCCGAGTCCGAGCCACACCGCACCCCAGAGAGGGGACAGTGGTCCGACTTTGAAGGGGGAGGGTGGATCAGGATGGGGAGGTGGATGCCGAGGAGGCAGGAGGGTGAAGGGTAGGAAGGGGGAACGGAGCTGCAGTCATCGCGTGATCGCGAGAAACGCCAGATCAGGAACGAAGGGGCTTCTCTCGCCACGGCGAGTCTCGGCCACGAACAGGCTACCCCGACCAGAATCTATGGAACGGCCCGGCAACCAGAGACCCGCCTGAGCCCAGAGCGGTCCCCCATTTCGACGTCTTGACTGCACTGGGGCTCAAGACATCGGATCTCTGGAGGCGGAGGAGACGACTGTAAAAGGGGGCATCCTCCATCCTTGAAGGCGGTGGCCGAAACGATGATCAGGAGGAGGAGGAGGAGGAGGAGGAGGAGGACTGAGGATCGGCGGCGACGATGGGGGTGAATAGCCCAAGGGCGGGCATTACACGTATTCGCCCGGAAGCCTTTTCGAAGACACGGATCATCGGCGCACCTGAATACATGGATTGCTCTCCCCTGGGCCATTCGCCCCTATCGTCGCCTCTGAGAGGAGGACTGAGGAGGAGGAGGAGGAGGAGGAGGAGGAGGAGGAGGAGGAGGAGGAAGAGGAAGAGGAGGAGGAGGAGGAGGAGGAGGAGGAGGAGGAGGAGGAGGAGGAGGGAGGAGGAGGAGGAGGAGGATCGAGGAGGAGGATCGAGGATCGGTGGCTGGAGGATCGAGGTTCCTCGGGCGCTTTCTGGGGGGCCACTCTGGGGGGCTGGCCGCCGCGGCTGGGATCCGCCTCGGCATCCTTGCCGAGGCGTGCTCCTGGAGGCGGAGGATTCGCACATCTGCGGGGCGCCGAGGGTCAATCCATGATCGGCCGACGCCCGACCACAAGTGAGCGACGAAGAGAAAAAGGTCGCAGGCCTAGAGGTTGACACCAGCACCACTATCGGCGGTGTTCCTCCCCCGAGGGAAGAAGATCCCGATCTCGGCTGGTGGTGATCTTCTGGCTTCCAGGGCGACCGAAAGATGTACCGCCAACGCCGACATCTGGGATCACCTCACCCCTGTGGAGGCAGCCCCCTGTCTTGGTGTTGCAAGGGCTCCCAGCTTCGCGCTTCGCGCTGCGCGAAGCGCGAAATGCGAATAACTTCGCGCTCTCGCGCCGCCTCCCAGGGGAGAAGAGGAGGATGAGGAATCGGAGCCGAACCGCGAAGCGCGAAGCGCGAATAACTTCGCGCCCTCGAGGGCGCCCTTGGTGTTGGTGCCCAGTGCCAGGCCTCCAGAAAAAAGGCCTCACGCGAGATGCCAGAGCGACCTCATGCGGCGGCTTGCGCGGCCGGCCAGCGGCGCTCCACATGGGAAACGAGGGCGCTCACGCCCGACCTCTGCGCGGGAAGCTCGCGCGAGTGCCGGCGCAATCGACCAGGCTGCCTTGCGTCGCTCACGTGGCGACCGGGACCTACTGCGGGACTGCCTCCTCCTCCTCCTCCTCCGCCTCCGCCTCCTCCTCCTCCTCCTCCGCCTCCTCCTCCTCCTCCTCCTCCTCCTCCTCCTGCCCTCGAAGGCCTCTGAAGCAAAATCCGCCGATCCGGCGTGTGAGTTTGTGAGAGCGTGGGCTCGAGCTCGCTCAAGCTTCGCTCTGGAGAGGGGGGGTCGCTTCGCTCAGAGGGGGGCGGCGAACTCCAACGGAATTCACTGAACGCACAAGTTCTGGAGAGGGGAGGAGGCGGGGACGAATTCCAAGCTCGCTCAAGCTTCCCTCTGGAGCAGGGGGGTACGAATTCCAACGGAATTCACTGAACGCACAAGCTCTGGAGAGGGGGGGGGAGACGCGACGCTTCGCTCTGGAGAGGGGGGGGAATTCCAACGGAATTCACTGAACGCAAAGCTCTGGAGAGGGGGGGGACGCTTCGCTCTGGAGACGGGGGGGGGGGACGAATTCCAACGGAATTCACTGAACGCGCAAGCTCTGGAGAGGGGGGGAGGGTGGACGAATTCCAACGGAATTCACTGAACGCACAAGCCCCTGGGGGGGAAAGGGGGAGGGGAAGGGGAGGGGGGGGGAGCGAATTCGCTCTGTCGGGGGGGGGGGGGGGGGGGCGACGCCATTCGGCCTGGGAGGAAGGAGGGGGAGGAAGGGGGAACGCCATGGGGATGGGGAGGGGGGGGAGGGGAGGAGGGGGGGCTGACGCCGTTCAGGCCGGGAGGGAGGAGCGGGGGGGGGGACTGACGCCATTCAGGCCCGGGAGGGATGAAGGGGGGGCTTCGCTCCATCGGGGGATGGGGGGCTGACGCCATTCAGGCCCAGGAAAAAGGAAGGGTGGGGGGGGGGGGGGGGGCTGACGCCATTCAGCCTGGGAGGGAGGATGGGCGGAGGGGGAGGGGGGGGAAACGCCATGGCTGACGCCATTCAGGCCCGGAAAGAGGAAGTCGGGGGGAGGAGAGATTGGGGGGAGCTGACGTCATGGCTGACGCCATGGGGATCTGGAAGGGGGAGGGAAAAGGAGCCCTGACGCCATGGCTGGCGCCATTCAGTCCCGGGAGGGAAAAGTCGGGGGGGCGGGGGCGGAGGTTGACGTCATGGCTGACGTCGTTCAGCAGGCCCGGAAGGCCAGGGGGACATCCCATGAGTTTGGCTGTTCAGCCGAGATCGTCACTTTCGAAGATCTGACGGTTACCCAAGCGAGCTCAACATCTCTACCTTATGAGGATATATCGAGCGAGTGCTCTTCTTTTAAACATACAAAATATCCCAGTGCGACCCTACCTAGGAGTTGGAGGACCTAGGCAAGCAACATCTATATCTAAGCCGAAAGGTACATCAACATCTACACCTGCATCTACATCCACATCAACATCACCAGCGAGATGATTCAAGCTACGCTTCCACATCTACATCCACAACAACATCATCTACATCCACATCCACATCTACATCAACATCATCTAGATAAGCTAAGCTAAGATGAAATAAGCTAAGCTAAGATGAGATAAGCAACGCTAAGCTAAGGGGACGTAGCTGGGGGGACCGCGGGGCGGATCCTGGGGGAACCGCCCGGGGCGAGCCCAACTGCCCGGCCCTTTAAGCACACCGAGTAAGAACCCTTCTAGGCAGAGCCTAGGTAGGGACAAATCCCCCGTTGCGAGCAGTATCGGTAGCACCCCGGATCGGCGGCACTGGCCGGAGGCCGCTACAATGTGGCTTCGTAGACAACCACACACATAGACGCACACACTTTTTGGTCGCGGGCGGACGCGGATTCGCAGTCGCCGAGCTGAGAGGTCCGGGCCACGGGCCTGTCAAATTAGCAACGCGCAAGCCTAAGAGCACAGCGGCCGAGCCCGGAATCAGAACCTACCGCCGGTGGGGCCGCAGGCTGAAGGGGAGCTGGCAGAGCTGACTGCACATAGACGCACGCACAGACACAGACACAGACACAGACACAGACACAGACACAGACACAGACACAGACACAGACACAGACACAGACACACACACACAGACACAGACACAGACACAGACACAGACACAGACACAGACACAGACACAGACACAGACACAGACACAGACACAGACACAGACACAGACACAGACACAGACACAGACACAGACACAGACACAGACACAGACACAGACACAGACACAGACACAGACACAGACACAGACACAGACACAGACACAGACACACACACACACACACACACACACACGCTGTCGGAAGTCCGCTCGCATCTCGCGGGCCTGCGCTGCCCCCCCCCCTCTCGCCCGGCGCGCTCCGCCTGCCAGGGCCGGCCGGCGCCAGAGGCGCCGCCAGGGGGGATGACCAGCACCGACCCGCGAAAATCCGCACGAGCTCCAGAAGTCTACGCGTCGCTCTAATCTCTATTCGCAGAAGGCATCTATACACCACCACCGTGCCAAGGCAAGGCCATCCTGGGCCCCAGGATGGTGTATACGCCCTCCTGGCCGAGGCCAAGAGGGTCTATGCACCATCCT